ACGGCAGAAGAAGGCAGGAGGGCTTGAGTTGATGCAAATGTAGGGTTTTGTCAAATGTTATGACCCATTTCTAAAGAACTTCATCATCTTTATAATACAGTCAGATGTGAAGGTCAGAACTTCGGGGAGCAGGCATAAGCCATTAGGACTGTCGATGATTCTTGATTTACAGCAATTGTTACTTGGCTAATTTGGCTAAGCTTTTTTCTTTGTTTTTGTTCCAATAAGATGTTCTGTGTTACTCTTAGTGCAATCTATAAACTTGCCTATACTTCCAACACCTATATACGCCGTGTATGCTATTTTAATCTACAAAAGACTTTTTTGAAAGTCGTGGCTGTGCAAAGCCTTCATTAGTATTCATCTTATCCTTAGTGGCTAGCTGTAGAAAGAAACATGGCTTGGCATCTGTGCTGTTCAAGATCTTATGTATGCTGGTCAATTCTCTGGATAGGTGGCTGTACAATTTGATTACTTGTAGTAATACTTGCTACAGTTTGGTTATTAGTTGTGGGTGGAAGTGACTTAGGAATGGAAGGAGTTCAAAAGTTCCTTTTAAACTCTTCCTATAGCAGATGTGAAGATTAGATACCCTTTTTGAGGAAGTTATAAGATAGTAAATTCACAAAGGTTTGAAGGATGTAAATGGCAAAGGTAAAAAAAAAAAAAAAAATCCTGACAGAGGGATTTACCTATAGACTTGCAAGAGAAATGAAGAAAAACAAGCAGTGAGAAAACAGTCCTGTGTTGACAGACAAATGGTCTAGACAAGTACAACCGTCGTTCTATTTAGCCACGTTTTTGACACCTTCCTAACTAGTGAGAAGGGGAGAAGCCTTTACTAACCATCTGGAATCACAAATTCTTCCCTTTCTTCCAGTATTAGACATTTTCCAGTGCTTGGCTGCACTTCTGGGTTTGAGCAAGAAAACACCTTAAACTTTTCTATGTCGTCTTATTGCTAGAGATATGTGTGATGTAATGAATTGTGGGAGCTGTTCTGTACATTCATTGTGTGTTTGAATTGTAAACGCTGATTTATGCCAGGTTTTATTTGGGTCTGTATTTTTTGCCAAACTTGACTATGTTGCACACGGCATAACTTGATTAATTTAGATTTATGTCCTAGTATCATTTGCAGTACCTTTGCAAGGAAACTACCTTTTGCTTCACCTGTGGTTTGGTTGGTTTTTTTGGTTTTTTTTTTAATAAAAAAGCACAAATAGGTCTATGAAAGTTGATGTTTTGCCTTTGTGTCTGAAATTTAGCTTGTGGTGTATTTTATGAAGTTTGAAGTAATACTTATGCAAGTACTAGAACAAATGTGTAAATGGCTGCCTAATTTTCTAAGCCTTCCTGCTGGACATGTTGCAGATGTTATTTGATATACTTTATACAAGTCTCTTGTATTTCTGAATTTGTTTAACTTTAGGAGAGAGATAATTTATATCTGTTGTTACCATTGAGGTGAAAGAGTTTGGAGTTGCAAGTTCTTTAATGGGTTTTCTGTTCCCACTGGATTACCTAACTGAATCTTGTGCACTTAAAATTGTACAGAAAGATGCAGTGTCCAGAGGTGCCAATTTCCCCGATATACCTAGAGCTAACAAAGACTTCCTATAGAAAGATATTTTAGAACAGAGAACAGTATAGGATGACCTGTATCCAAGGGCAGGACAAACATGATATGTCTATAAAAACCAATGGCACTGTAGGAGAACAAAAAATGAAGTTATTTGGTGATTGCATATAAAATTAGGGTTTTTTTAAGATTATATGCTTGCAAAGTGCTTGTCATGAATCTCAAATGTAAACTGGGACGAGCTATTAGGAAGGCTGGACTTCAGTTAGGTGAAGCTTGTCAGGTATAATGAAATTTTGTCTTCTGTTATCCTAGTTTTGATAAAGTATTCTGTAATGCCATTTGTAATGTTCTAGGAAAATTTAGATTTTTAAAGTCTTATTTAAAAGCTAGGTTTTGTCTCTTTCCTATTTTAATACAGCTTGGCAAGGCTAAGCCTGCTGTGCCTATGGACAGATAGCAAAGATGATGAATAGCCCTAAAGTTTAGTTTTGTTTGAACAGCTGCAGAGTTTACTTTAATATGGACTGAAACATCGTGACTAGGGTTATATTTGTTTTCCCGAATAGGAAAGATGTCATTCGTCACTGGAGTGAAACATGAAACATCAAAGAAAACAGAATTTTGTAACCCTGTGTTAGTCTCCTGTTAGAAGAGAACGATGTAAAAAAGCTGGAAAAGTTTCCTCTGTACCAAAGGGAAAAGCAAAGCTTTTCCGTTTTCTTGTGGATAATGTTAGATTCCATTCTTCTAAATTCATGACATTAGATTTTTCCCTGCCCCAGCTTGGGATAGTGTGAGCTTTTATAACATGTTATTCTTTTCTAAATTACTTGGAAGAGAATGAGAAAAAGAGAGGAAATAATACTGTTTTCTTTCAGGGAGTTTGAGGCTATGCATAGATTTGCATTTTGAGATAGATGGGCTGTATTGTACCAGAGGTGCTGATCCCGCAAACACCCAGGCTGGTACCAGTTTGCAACACAGCACACCTGGGAGCATCTAGGCCTTCCCTTACTTGGAAACCAAGATACAGGAATGGGTGCTGATGTTCCCACACTTACAGTTTTCTTCTAAAATGTAGGTTCTCGGGCATGGAATAGTTTGTTTTTCCTGAAGAATGCTAATCATTCAATCTTTGACGTTCTGAGTTTTACCACTTTTTATTTTACTGGTTTGGTTTTGATACCTGATGATTGTGTCATAGGAGAAAATTTGTCTGCAGTTCTAAATCTGCTCTTCTACCTTTGGGATTTTGTTTTCATGACAAGAAGGTTTTATGCCCTCTCAGAAGGTGATGATTAGTAAATACATAATCCTTTGTATTAAAAGACATTTAAAAAATACACAGCCTGCATTGAATGATGCTGCAGTTGTTAGGATTAGAGATTCATAATCTGTTATCTGCATGCCTTGTTTAATTTTTACCTTTGTTTTTATTTTACAGGATGCTGTACTTTCGATGAGCCTCTCAGTTCCTGTGGCTATAGTCAGTCAGATGATGATGATCTTAACTGGGATCAGGTGAACGCACCGATAAAGCCCTCCTCAGGTCAAGGGATGCCATCTGGTTGGTCTTCTATGTTGCTTTGTTTCTCTTTGACATTAGCTTATGTGTTTATTCAGCATTTCTTGACAGTGCTATCATTAGAATGCTACTTTGTCTAAATCTATTTGTTAATTGCAATACTCGGATCTTCCAAGTGATTTTTGTGAGGGATATTTAGCAAAGCAAAGGTTTTCTTTCATTGTGTGGGGAACATAAAGGTTAGAAAATAGAAATAGAAACTTGGTGTCCTCAGGGAAGGCAGAAAGAAAACAGAATGATGGCGTGAAAATGAGTATGAAGTAGTACTAAAAACAGGTAGATGGGACTACTCAGGAAGACTCAGAAGGGGGAATAGTAAGAGATAAAACAAAGATGGCCTTAGGCATTTTCATTGAAAGAGATATTAATCAAAGTCTGTTCTGAAAAGAAATGGAGAGTGAAAAAGAGGTGAGAGAAAAAGGAGAGCAGAGGTATCCTGAAACAAAGGGCCTCAATGATATTATGTTTGTTGTGTTTAAAAGACAGCTGTGATACTATTATTTAATGTACTTTGTGCACTGCATGTAGTTGGACCTAATTCCGTAGCAACAACCCTTGCAGTCTATTGAACTATAAACTTACTCTGGTAATACAGTCATTCCTTTACCACTTCACCCACACAAATATGTAAAATCTGACCATGGGTTTTAAACTATTCACTAGCCTAAAATGTATCAATTATTCTTTTTTCATGTTTTTATCTACGCATGTTAAAAGTTCCCCCCATGTACTGATCTCCATCTCCTGGGGGATGATTGCCTGCAGCCCAGCTCAGCACCTTCTTTGGCTTTTAAAGACTGAGCCTCCTGTGACAATTGTCACCTAAAAGTAGTCAAAACAAAAAGACCACTTTGTAAAATCACTGGTTGTAGCAACAGGGGACTTCTGCATTAGCCTCATAATTTAGTATAAATATATCCAGAATGCTTAAAAGCATTGCAGATCAATGTCCTGGTGTTTCACATCTGTTTGAATTAGTTCTTTAAAGCACCTGTAATATACTTTGGTGTTTCTGTAAAAATCTCTTCAATAGTTGTTCCCAAGAAAATGTTCCTCCCTTATTTTTGGATAAGGGAATTAGGAGAGAAACGGTGTGAATCTTCAAAAGTGACTATATAAACAAAACCTGAATGTATGCACTCATCACTAGTGGACTAATAAATGCACTAATGTATGATATGCACTGATCAGCCCTAGATATCATTCACTTGTAAAAATGCTCTCAGCAGTCTTCGCTATAGATTTATTAATGTTGCCATGTGTTGTGGACAACATCATATCTGAGGTTGATGGTTGAACTGAAGTGCCTTTTCCTTCAGCACTTCATTTCCTCTGGCAAAGGTAGGACTCCCAACTTCAAGATGAATGTTCAGTTTGCCTGAGTCCTGACACTTGGATCGTCATGCTAGATTGAGTTCATCATCCCAGATAAAGGAGATTCTTGCAAATTCCTTTTTAAACTGGCTCTTGTCCAGTGGTCTTGGCACACGTTGCTAAAAATTCTCCAGACTATTTCATTAGTGCTTAATACTGTTTCTCAAGTTGGAGCTAACACACATAGTTTATCAGTCATCTTGGCTTGTAGTACAAGCTATACATTCTTTTCTCAAATCATGCCACTGGAAATTCTCTTTCTATTCCAAATTTCATTCATTACTCTCCCCACTTGGATTTTGTGAAAGCGATTGTCAGTATATGTTGTTCAGTCTTCTTGGCAGATGGAAGAGGTTGAAATCTATGTTCTTTTCTGTGATGACCATAGGCTTGAAGATTTTTTGGTTTGTTTTGTGTTCCCAGGGGCAAGAGTCCAGACTAGGGACTGGTATTTTTATGGAGGGAAAATTATACAGATGTAATTTTATTTATCAGATGTCATACAACTTATTTCTTATTTGTCTTCCTGCCTTTTTATCAGAAGACTAAAATAATGTTCTGATGATCAAGTAAAAAGATATTAAATTTGGTAATAAATTATATTTAGAGTTTAGGGAGTTTTATTTCTGCCCATAAAGGAAGTGAAATATGCTTTGGGAGTCTTGGGTCAGAAGATGAACGAGTTAGTCTGAGGAGGGTTGTGGATATTGGTGCCTTAAAAGGTCAAAAACCCCTTTGAGAGGGAAAGAAATGCTCATTTTTTGCAAATGAGAAGCAATGTGTCTAAGGGCACGATTCAGTCAAGTGGTATCTTATTTTTCCTCATAATTTCATCTAGACAGTTTTTTCCTGTTCTTGCTCAAATCATCGTCTTAATGATTTTAATTAGTTTTCAGTTAGCCTTAGCTAGAGAGTTATGTGATACACTTAAAAAATTATTTCAAGTAGTTTGTCAGCAGTTTGAGCTACATATTTTAGAAAAAATAACTTCAGATGATAATGAATAGAACATCTTAAGATTAATGGTTTGTGGGGGATTCTTGGCTTGAAAGCAAAATGCTTTATGCAACAATGTTGTAATACTAGACTGAAACAAGAACTCTCAGTTCAGTAGTCCCTTGTCAGTAGAAAAAATTAATGCACATAACATTCCTAATTTCAGGCAATATGCTCCAGTGAGTGAGTTGATATTAATGTATAATATTTTGTATCATTTGGTGGCAGTCAGGGGGAAGCACACTAGTTATGGCATTTGATTTATTTTAATCCGCATGAGACTGTTAAGACCATAGCTGTACTTCAGATAGATAAATATTTTTGGCTTGATATGTTATTTCAGTGGGGCAAAAGAAATGTCATATAACATTCATGCATATGTGTGCATGCATTAATGTACACACTATATTTACATGTTAGTGAACATTAATAGTTCTTTGTGAGATCTAGTTTTAGATGAAAACTGATAAGTTTTATCCAAGATAATAATAAAAAATTTCTAAAAGTGCTTCTTACAGTGGACTTTAAGCCTTGTTGGATTGTTACAGTAGTAGAAAAAGATGAAGTCATTGCTACTAAAGTAAGTAGGGTGCTAGCACTCTAATTTTCTTGATAAATATAAGCATGACCTTTAATGAGTCAGTACTAATCTGAAATTGCATTAAACAGACCCAAAAAGCAATGACATGTATATATTGGTATGGATTAAATGAGAGTGGTTAATCCACTGCTCTTCTTTCTGTTTCAAGTGTCCTGTGAGTCAAATGGAGTAAATACTGTAGGAAGAGTGGCTCTTCCCTTTTCTCAGCCTCTGTCTTTCTCCTTGTGTTTCTGTTCCAAGAATGTATGTTTATAATAACATTCAAAACTCTAATTATAGAAGCACTTAGTCATTATTGATGCCATCTTGCATCATCCTATAGAACAGTTACAGCAGTTTGATATTAATGTGTTTATATAATACACGTTTACAATTATAGCTAACTGTAAACCCTCTAGCTGTCTAGATGTCTTCAGAAAAATATGCCCAAACAGTAGATTGGCAAGGTGTTGGCAGTGGGGCAGGGGGGCTGCAGGAGCGGCCTCTGTGAGAAGAGACCAGGGGCTGCCCCACTTTGGGTGCATCCAGCTCCAATGGACCCACCACAGGGGACAGCTGAGCCCCTTAGTGATGCTGGTGGCACCTCTGGGACAGCATGTTTAAGACAGGGTAGAAAACGTTGGGCAGCAGGTGTGAGAGGGGAGTGAGAAAAATGTGAGAGAAACAGCCCTGCAGATACCAAGGTCAGAGAAGAAGGAGGGGGAGGAGATGCTCCAGGTGCCGGAGCAGAGATTCCTCTGGAGCCCATGGAGAAGACACTGGTGAAGCAGGTTGTCCCCTGCAGCCCATGGTTGTGAGATCTAGTTTTAGATGAAAACTGATAAGTTTTATCCAAGATAATAATAAAAAATTTCTAAAAGTGCTTCTTACAGTGGACTTTAAGCCTTGTTGGATTGTTACAGTAGTAGAAAAAGATGAAGTCATTGCTACTAAAGTAAGTAGGGTGCTAGCACTCTAATTTTCTTGATAAATATAAGCATGACCTTTAATGAGTCAGTACTAATCTGAAATTGCATTAAACAGACCCAAAAAGCAATGACATGTATATATTGGTATGGATTAAATGAGAGTGGTTAATCCACTGCTCTTCTTTCTGTTTCAAGTGTCCTGTGAGTCAAATGGAGTAAATACTGTAGGAAGAGTGGCTCTTCCCTTTTCTCAGCCTCTGTCTTTCTCCTTGTGTTTCTGTTCCAAGAATGTATGTTTATAATAACATTCAAAACTCTAATTATAGAAGCACTTAGTCATTATTGATGCCATCTTGCATCATCCTATAGAACAGTTACAGCAGTTTGATATTAATGTGTTTATATAATACACGTTTACAATTATAGCTAACTGTAAACCCTCTAGCTGTCTAGATGTCTTCAGAAAAATATGCCCAAACAGTAGATTGGCAAGGTGTTGGCAGTGGGGCAGGGGGGCTGCAGGAGCGGCCTCTGTGAGAAGAGACCAGGGGCTGCCCCACTTTGGGTGCATCCAGCTCCAATGGACCCACCACAGGGCACAGCTGAGCCCCTTAGTGATGCTGGTGGCACCTCTGGGACAGCATGTTTAAGACAGGGTAGAAAACGTTGGGCAGCAGGTGTGAGAGGGGAGTGAGAAAAATGTGAGAGAAACAGCCCTGCAGATACCAAGGTCAGAGAAGAAGGAGGGGGAGGAGATGCTCCAGGTGCCGGAGCAGAGATTCCTCTGGAGCCCATGGAGAAGACACTGGTGAAGCAGGTTGTCCCCTGCAGCCCATGGACACCACGCCGGAGCAGATATCCACGCTGCAGCCTGTGCAGGACCCCATACCGCAGCAGGTGAAGGAACCCATACCGTGCCCTGAAGGAAGCTGTAGCCTGTGGAGAGCCCACGCTGGAGCAGGCTCCTGGCAGGAGCTGTGGGCCTTGGAGAGGAACCCATGCAGGAGCAGGCTTTCTGGCAGGATCTGCAGCCTGTGGAGTACCCACACTGGAGCAGTACATTCCTGAAGGACTGTACCCTGTGGTAAGGACCCACGGTGGAG